ACATTGTATAAATTATACAAATTTATTTGCATTTTGCAGATAGAAATAAGTTATCCATCCCCTACCAACCATTATCATAATCATCTCGTTACCTGAATTAAAGTTCAGTCAATTTATCATTAAAGACAGCTGTTTCAAACTGTCATCTGTGTAAAAGACTCCTGTCCACAGACTCAATTAATCAGTCAGACTCTAACCTCTACAACATGGGCAAGACCAAAGAACTTTCTAAGGATGTCAGGGACAAGATCATAGACCTGTACAAGGCTGGAATGGGCAAAAAAAATTAAAATAAGATGCTCGGTGAGGAGACACCTGTTGGTGCAACAGTAAGAAAATGGAAGAAATACAAAATGACTGTCAATCAACATCGATCTCAGGCTCCATGCAAAATCTCAGCTATCCTTGGGCTATCCTTGATCATGAAGAAGGTGGGAACTTGTTAATGATCTGAAGGCAGCTGGGACCACAGTCACCAAGAAAACCATTGGTAACACATGATGCTGTAATGGGTTAAAATCCTGCAGTGCCTGCAAGCTCCCCCTGCTCAACAACAGACGTGCAGACCTGTCTGAAGTTTGTCAGTGAACACCTGGAGGATTCTGAGAGTGATTGGGAGAAGGTGCTGTGGTCAGATGAGACAAAAAAATGAGCTCTTTGGCATTAACTCAACTCACCTTGTTTGGAGGAAGAGAAATGCTGACTATGACCCAAAGAACACCATCCCCACTGTCAAGCATGGAGGTGGAAACACTGTTTTGGAGGGTTTCACTGCTAAGGGCTACTTCACCGCATAAATGGGAGAATGAATGAAGCCAAAGAGGACCAAAATTCCTCCTGACATGTGTGCAAACCTCATCATCAACAACAAAAAACATCTGTCTGCTGTGCTGCCAACAAGGGTTAAGTCTTAAGTCTTAAGTATTAAGTCTTGTTTGCCAGAGGGATCAAACGCTTCTTTATCTCTGCAAAATGCAAATAAATATATATAATTTATACAATGTAATTTTCTGGATTTTTTAAAATATTCTATCTCTGTTAAAATTAACCTACCTTTAAAATTATAAACTGTTCGTGTCTTTGTAAGTGGGCAAACTTGCAAATTCAGCAAGGGATAGAATACTTATTTCCCCACAGTATTACTTAAAATGACAGAAGTATAAAAGTACTGGTGTTTTGATTTTAGAATCATTTTTAGAGCACATAATTTAGTGGTATTCATAGCCAGTCTGTGCGTCAAGCTTTGGGTTTATTTTGTTCTCATCACAGACTGAAATCTACAGTCATAATAAACCAGAACAATAAGCTGCTTTGAGCAATTTGCACAATTTTATAGTAATGTCTTATTAAATTAGAGAACCATGTTGCTTTTTCAGTGACTCACATGCAAATACAAGATTTTGATTCCTCCTTCTTTCGCTTCAGCAATCATGCAGGTGTTCCCCTTTGTCATCACTTATTGTTACTGTTCATCTCAGTGGTGTGAATTTTCTTTTCTCTCCAACATACTATTAGTTCAAAAATGAATTTATGTTCATTATCAAAATGTAATATCAAAGACATCAAAGCATTTTGTCAGATTAGATGATAACAACATTTTTAAATTGGCTTTTTTGAAGAAAGTTGATCTAAAGTTTTTATTAGTTCTCACAGTTATTTCATCAGTGACATAATCCCAGTTTAGTTTGTATTAATTGTTTAAAGTCAGATTGGACAAGTGGAGAAACTTCCTGTTGCAATAAAGCACCCAGTCAGATATATTTTAAGCTTTTTATTTTTTCCTAAATAAACAGAACTTGTTAAATTGCTGAATGTATACCCTTGGTATGTTGGAAGTCTCTAGAAATAGAAAGATCGTGTGGTTTGACAGTTTTGGGATGTACTTTCATGACGAGGCACAGGTCTGACTCACAATCAGTAATGTGTTGAAATGACCACGGTAGCTCACCAGGTTCAAATAACTGAGTCCTGCAAAACAGTTGTTCCTTTTTTCCTTTAACGTTTTTTTAAATGACAACTTTGTGTAATGGGAAGCTAAAGTGGAGGTGTCATGGTAACTAAAAACAGTTCTTTATTTGTGCCCTGAAATGTCTGTGTCATGTTTAACTCATTCAAACCGTGACTAACTTCAGCCTGTCTTAGCAGACTTTGTCTTTCAGAAGACGTGTTGGGACGGACGGGGTTTAGGTGAAAGACCTCTCTGAGCGGAGCGGGGAGGTCAGCACAGAGATGCTTGTGTTTCTCAGCTCCAATGATCCAAACATGAGACACCGCACGCTGGAAGCAAACTGGAAAAACTGCTGACACAACAGTTCCCAAAAGATCATCTGCAGGCAGACTGGGGCTTTTTTCTTGAAGGTGGCAAATTTCAAGCTCATGAGAAGTGCTGAGGCATCTGTTTGGGTTGATGGACATTCTGTTTTCATACAAATACACGCACATGCCCATTGCACACATACAAGTTAGCTTTTCTATCCCAGTGGGGATCTTGCATTGACTTTCATTCATTTTCTGGTCATTTCTACAGCCTAATCCTGACACTTTACCTTAAACCTAACCACCCCAGTGCATGCCTGACCCTAGATGTAGCCTAAAGTCAATTAACACTTTGATCCTAATCCGAACCCCCGAGCGAAAATCAGCATCCGTATTTCTGTCTCTGTTGTTAAATAAATATTGCCATAACAGTTGGCGTTGTCGGCAGGATATCACAAGATATGAACAAGTGTTCATATCTTCAGGAACAGGAACAAGTGGTCAGTGTCAAGGTGATACAGAAAATAAGTATTCCACAACAGTACCCAAAGCCTGGTCCCCATGAGGAGCACTGGGTCCCCACAAAGCTGTGTTTTTCTGGAAAATGGTCCCCGTGTAGCAAAAAAATGTGTCCACACACACACTTCTGCACCAACTTTAACCCACACATACATAATCATACGGATACTTTAATAACAGAAATGTTGTTGAGGCTGCACATTACAAGATTTCAACCTTATTTATTGCATCAGTTCACTTCTTAAAGCCAAACCATGACATTTTAAAGAAAGAGGACTTTTGGGGATTTGACTGTTCACAACTTGCTAGAGGTGTAAAGTAGAGTAGAAATATTTTGTTACTTAAGTTGAAATTTTGGTTACCTATACTAGAGTTTTTTTGTTCTGCCAACATTTTACTCCTTACCAGAGGGGGCAGTACCAAAGTAAATTTATGTAAGTACTGTACTTAAGTACAGTTTTTGAGAATTAGTACCTTACTTGAATAGCTTAATTTTTCCCATACATTTCTTTAAAGGCTTTAGTTATTTGTTACTTTTTGGCTGTTTGTGTCTGTTTTGTAGGTAGTGAAAAGCAGAGAGAAGAAGAAGAAGAATTTTTGTCCGATTGCCTTATAGTATAGGCTTAGGTATGCTCGACATGTTTCTGTACTATTGCTGGTCTTCAGTTAATCCTCTTGAGTTTAATGTGGACTCATTTAAGACAGAAGTTAGAGCGTTTTAGGCTTTTAGTCTTTGTTCTGATTTCTACCAAATAAACTGTTAAATTGTTTTGTACAAAAGGATTTATTGAAACAAATATTTTCAGTTCAAGTGAAAAGTGTTGTTTAAAAAAAAAGACTTAAAAACTTTAAGTACTTTCACTACTTAAATATTTTTGAAAGTACATACTCCGTTAACTTAAATAATAATTTGACAGAGCTACATTTACTTTTATTGAAGTAATATTTGACCAGCGGGATCAATACTTTGACTCAAGTAAGAAAACTGAATACTTTGTCCACCATGTTCCTTACATTTTCCACACAATCTGCTCCTTGTATTTTTAAAATGTAAAATGTAGAAAATTTTTTTTACTCCCTTTTCATTTGGCTTGTTATTGTTGAAAACTATTCTGACATATGGCGCCTCCTGGAAAGTGAATTTGATTGTGGTTGGATGAGAAGTATTTTATACAAGACTGCCAACATCTTACTGAACTGGAAGTGCTGGCAATGAATGTTAGATTTAATCTTTGTTCCTTTGATTTTTGGACACACTTTGAAATTTGTTCAGTAGAATCAAAGTTCTTGGATCTCCTCTTTATTTCTGTGTTGAAAGTGTCACAAATATGGAAATGATCCATAAAGAGAAAAAAATGACTCAAATCAGAATAGTTATACAAGTTAATGTCTTAAGGACATCTTAAATTTTTTTATTTAGAAAATTGAATTACTGTAATAGAACAGTTTGAAATTTTGAAAAGTTAAACCTGCAAAATTTACACATGGTCAGAAGAAGACACGCACCTCATCTTAATGTCTGAACCCACTGGAGCTGACATACTGTATGTACAGAATTATATAAAGGTAATGCTTTCCCTTTTTTCAGCACACTTGCTTCTACACAAGTATGTCACTAAAAGCTGTTGAATACATTTTTAATTGGTCTCAATCCACTACAACCGATGGTTAGCGTGTGTGTGTGTGTGTGTGTGTGTGTGTGTGTGTTGTGTTTCTTGGTGATCAGGTGGGAAGAAAATAGTTTTTAACAAGCTTGACAACAAAATAAATCACTGCTTTGTTTGCTGAGTCTCAGTATTATCTATGCATGAACCACATGACATATGACTCCAATAGATATTACAAATGTTAAGAAATACTGGAAAATATTTAAAACTACGGAAAGTATATATTTATTTTACTGACAGTTTTGTTATTATAAATGCCAGTGCAAAAGCCTTAAAACATTAATATTTGTGTAACATTCTCATTTTTCTATCATTTTTTTTTTGTAAATTTGAAAAACTCCACACAGAATCAGTGGTGAGCTGTCATTGACAACAATCAATAAATATATTAAAATTTATACAGTAGATTTGTTTTTCACTTGGTCAGCTTTTAGAAATGTATGTTTATTTTATCATTTTCATCCAGTTATTTCAGTCATGACAATCAGACATAAAAGATATTTAAACTTTTATTGAACAGTGAGGGAAAAAATCTATCAAATGTTTGAGAAATACAGAGATACTTTGTTATACTGTATACCACCTGCTCTGTGGGAACATTGAATTTTTTTGAAAAAGCAAACACATGGAAAGACTTGTTTTGAAAGAGAACAAATTCAAACTATTTCTTTCAGATCTTTAGGGACAGACTGACTGGAGACACCAATGTCGTGACCTTGGTCCACATTTTCCAGCTTCCCTTTTACTCCAGTTTATGATGACATTTCAGGTTATTATACAAGTTTTTAGTGTTGGCGTGCAGAGTTCATGTTTTACAAGTTGTTGCAAATTGCTCATTTCCTGTGTGAATTCTCATGTGTTCATGTAAACTTATCTTTGTCTAAATGTTTCTCCATAAACCACACAAAGAAACAGTTACTCCCCTGCATGGAGCTGCATGTGTGCGTTTAATTTTGTTTTTTGGTCAAACACTATTCCACAAGTTTTACAAAGGAACGGTTTCTGTTCTTGGTGCATTTTCATGTGTCTGCTCAAACTGGACCTGTGTCTAAACCTTTTCCCGCAAACTGAACAAGGAAATGGGCTAAACTCTGTGTGGGTTTTTATGTGCTTGTTTAAAAGTAGCTTTTGGCTAAATATTTGGCAACAAAAACAACAGGGGAAATCTTTCTCCTCTGTGTGAATTTGCATGTGCGCGTTTAAATTGGTTATTAGGCTAAACATTTCTCCACATTTATCACAGGGATACATTTTCTCCCCCTTGTGCATTTTCATGTGTCTGCTCAAACTTGACCTGTGTCTAAGTCTTTGTCCACAAGCTGAACAAGAAAATATTTTCAGATCTGAGTGAACTTGAATGTATTCGTAATAATCTGTCTTTTGGATAACTTTTTGTCTACAAAATGACTTATTTTCTGTGTGGATTTTCATATGACATCTCAAATTTGCCTCATGTCCAAACTTTTGTCCACACACCGAACAAGGAAATGGTTTCTTATTTGTGTGAACTCTCATATGTCTACTCAAACTTGGCCTATGTCTAAACTTGAGTCCACAAACCAAACAAATAAATGAGTTTTTGTCTGTGTGGATTCTCATGTGTGTACTCAAAGCTGGCCTATTACAAAACCTTTGACCACAAAACAAACAAGAAAATTGTTTGTCTCCTGTATGGATTCTCTTGTGTGTGTTTAGCTCTCCTTTACATGCAAGTCTTCTGCCACAATCATCAGACGTAACTGAATTTTTCTTCACAGTAACACGTTTGTTTTTAACCAAACAGCTTGAAGACGTCACCAACGAAGCACACGTGTGTCCCTGAAGGGACAACTTGTTAAGGAAGTGTTCACCACACTCAGAGCAGCGAAGTGATTTGTCGAAGGTGTTTACAGGTGCCCCGTTCCCGTCGTCGTCACTGTGTTCAGATGTGGACTCAGAGTCTGACGATGATTTCAGATCAGAGTCTGACTCATCCTCTTCATCAGACTTGTCTTCATCATCCTCACTGACATCAGTCTCTGAAGACATGGAATCACTTTCAGAAGTGTTTTGGTCTGGGTTCCAAGTAATTTCTGCTCCAACATAGTCCTCTCCATCAGTTGCTGCTGTCATCTGGTAAGTTGAACTGCAGCTTGGATAATCTCCGTCTTCCACTTGGTGCTGATAAAGCTGTGAGAATGAAGCTTCCTCTTCATCATCCTCACTCTTAAAATGAACTATTGTGAATGAAAAGCTGGTGGCATCATCCTCCTCCTTCACAGTGAGCTGCTCTCCCTCTGGACTGGTCCACAGTTCCTCCTCTTCCTCCTTTATGTTGAGGGCTTCTGGCTCCTGCTGGTCTAGATGAGGGCTCCATTCTTCTTGAGCTTCTTCTTTAATCAGCACTATCTGCAGAACATCTGCAGGGAACACTGGAACACATGAAGTTAATACATTAAAATTGTGGCATTTAGCCAATAAAGATCAGCATGACAATATGCAGGCTCGTCTTCTCATGACTGGTTAAATTGCTCTAGTGGCAACCAGTTTGGTCGCAAATGCGACTTGATGTCCTAATAGTGCGACTAAAATACAATTCTGGTTTCACTGGTGTGACCAGTCCGTCGAGGGGCTGGGGGAGCGGTCGCCTATGTTGTTATGAAGAGATTAAGCCAATTTTGTACGCGTGGACGCTTTCTTCATGACAGAGGACTTGCAGCCGTCATGAGTCTTTCTGCGGTTTCCAACCCTGGTCCTCAAGGACTCCTTTCCTGCATGTTTAAATGTTTCCCTGATTTGACACACCTGGTTTGAATGAATGAGTGATTAACAATCTTCTGAAGACCTGCTGAAGAGCAGGGAAACAAGTAAAACATGCTGGATACGGGTCCTTGAGGACCAGGATTGGGAACCACTTTTCTAATTAAACAATATTAACTCTAACAGACTGTTTGCCCCATATTAAACTACACATGAAACTTTGTTTAACATATTACCCCCTCTAAAGGGGAAACAAAGATAAAAAAATAAAATTAAAAAACTTGCAATGTTTCTCTAGCTGAGTTTTAATTGTTTTTATAATTTATCATAAATATAAAAGAAAAGCCAAGTGTCCCTGCGAGGGAAAGGAGAACATCAAGTTGGCAGTATTATTTCATGTAAAAAAAAAAAATAAATAAATAATAATAATAATAATAATAAAGGGGGGGGGGGGCTACTAATACGACCTGTTATAAAATTTTCACAATTCCAATAAAAGGTTTCACAAATCACATATTTGGTTTTAGATAATTATGCTTTAAGTGTAGAATAATCTAGTCCAGGTGTGAAGAATCTAGGCGTTGTAGTTTTGCATCTGGACCAGGTCTAGTGTGGTCCAGATGCCAGGGGGAAAAAAACACCAAAAAGTCCAATTATTTAAGTTTCAGTCAAACACACACTAACGGTCCCTTCTCGAATCGGAAGCTGAAATCTGAAACCAGCTTCAGCTTCGTATGCCTCAATATTATTATTTATTGCATGACCTTTCAGGCACCACAGACGTGGCAATTATTAAGTGCAGACATTTATTAACAAATGTCTCATGCACCTTCTAAGCCAGACGTTTTATCTAAACATTTTAAGCTTCACACCATGGACCTGAATTTCAAATTAAACGCACAGACCACAACTATTTGTTGTGTAGCAAGCAGAGTTAGCATTTGGCTATGACAAGAAAAAAAAACAACGATAAATTCAGATAAAAATAAGTACCTTGTTGACTGCTTGCCGTTACAAGAGACTCTTTAGTCCACATAAGTCGGTTTTAAACCAATTGTCAACTTTAAACATCAAAAGATAACTTTCACAGCGTGAGCTTAGCTTCATGCTCTGTCCTGCAAGCTAGTTCCTGAAACTGAAGCGATAACTCTCGCGAGATTCATTTAAGTTCACGCGATATTTGGTCACGACGTCCCCGTCACATTCGCTGTAAATCTGAAACTTGAACTATTTCTATACAAAAATCGTGAAGTATGCATGCATTATGAACTTTAAACAACACGTAATAGGAAAACTAAGTGAGAGAAAGTTTATATTACAAATTGTTTTCTATATTAAAATGTCCCCAATAATGTAAAGTAGCAGCACTTTTGTAATGTTTACCAATTTTTTGATTTCATAGATTTTTTTAAAACACATGTTCAGAAACACTTTTTGGGTAATAGTATTTCCTAATTTTAGCATATTAAAAGCTATTTATTGTTCTGATCCACTTTCAGCTGCAGTCCGTCCATGTTTGAAAAAAAAATACAAAAAAAAAAAAAAACAAAAAACAATACAAAATCACTTAAATGTGTGAATAAATTTTTACGCCATAAAGCGAGATAAAACATGCATTTTTTTTCAAACAGCAGAATAACACATTGTCCTCAAATTCAGACGGAGGTTTCAAAAGTATATTCACATTCATTACTTAAGTATAAATAGTTTTAAAATTGTTTTTTGGAAATAAAAGTATCAACACAAGCTTTTTACTCAAATAAAAATGTAAAAGTAGTGTTTTTAAAACAATCTAAAGTATAAAAGTAAAAGAAGTGTAAGGGGAAAAAGCCAATTAAGCTTAGGCTGGACTACGTGGGGCTTATAGTGCACAACCCCACCTTCCTAAAAATAAATGAATAAATAAATAAATAAATAAATAAATAAATAAATAAATAAATAAATAAATAAATAAATAAATAAAGTTGGTATGCATTAGATCAGGGGTGTCAAATTCCTTTTCACCAAGCGAGGGCCACATAAGCGTTACGGCGGCCCTTCAAAGGGCCAGTTGTAATAGACTTCAACAATTCATAGTTAACTTTGATGAAACCGAAAACACTGTCCTCATCTTATTACTACAGCCGAGAACTTTTAACAGTTACCAAGCTCCATGTGGTATTTCCTGTATAGAAACAGTTTTAACCAAGAATCAAGAATCGTTTATTGTCATTCATACACAACATCAAGATGTAATGCAGAATGAAATTTGCAGTTTTGAACATCCATTCGGAGAAACACACACACGACAGACACGGGGGAACGAATGTCCAGGGCCTTGCGCAACATAGTGCGCTACCTTGCAGTTTAGAATACACACACATTGGAAGGATGAGGTTAAAACAAGAGCTTTGATCCTACAAAACAAAAACACACGAGCATCGCACAAAAAAAACACTCTGCAAACAGCAGCAGATAAGCAGGGGGAGGGAGGGGGTGGGGGTACAAACATATGAAGGGGTGCAGAGGAGCCGGAGACATCCAGGGCAGAGTGCCTGAACCTAATCAGAGACCTTCAGAGCCCAAACCAGCTGTTATCAGTTAAACGCAGTTCACTAGAGTTCACTTTCTCTGTATCCACCCAACACGGCCTCCAAGACCGGGTCCAGACACAGGTGGGGGTTGGGGGGAGGGGGGGATCAAGGCTTCCTCCCCATATCCCATATCCTGGGAGGTTTATCAGCTGCGTCCAAGGACACATCTGTGGGGATCCGATGATAGGAGTAAATTATTTTAGAGCAAGCAACAGATTTTCTTCCACTGCTTTTTAAGTCTTAACTGAGCCTGTGTTGCGAAAATGCCAATAATCCAGATTTGTTACCATCTCGCCTCTCCCATATAATCCATTTACAGAAATTGTGAAATTATATGTGCATTATAAACTTTTAAATATTATAATTTGCAGTGAATTTTGTACCAATAAAAAAGTGTCGATTTGTTTATTTGGTGTCCATGAGCTTTAGCACATGATTGACAGAAGCTATTTTGAGATAAAATTTGGGATATTTTTTCCTCCCAAAACAAATTCAGTGATCCCACAACATACAGCTTAAAGATGCATGCATTAAGATATTATATTGTAGTAAAATAATGCTCAAATGGTGAACTGTTTTTTGTGCGATTTGCAATGTCAGTCCAAATTTTCTATTTTGTAATGAAGAGGTCAGAGTATTTTTTTCTGATTCATCGATTAAATAAAAAAATGTATCGATTATTATAATATTAGTTAGTTTCAGCCCTAATTTCCTTCATATTTTAAAATTTAAAAGTGTGAGTAATGAAACTATTTGGCACTTTAAATCTTGCAATGTCTATACGTGGCCAAAAGATGGCGCTCACTTCACATGTCTGAATGTCTGAAAACCGGCCTGTTTTAGACAGCAGCTCTGATCAGTGGCCAATCGCTGCACAGAAGTAGGATTTATACATCCAGGATATCGGCAGGAATCCACAATTAAACAATCATTGAACACGCAAGCAAGCTTAACGATAAAAGGACCACTCAAGCATGGACACAGACAGCAAGACGCGTGCACCGCACGTTTCTCTAGTGGAGCAGCGGAGACTCGTGGATACATGTCAACAGATGGAACACGTGATCACTACAAAGGGAAACACCGCTGCCGTCATTAAGCAGAGGAAAAAAGCCTGGGAAGCTATAGCGGACCGACTAAATGCGTAAGTTGTTTCAAAGGGATACACTTGTATGTATGGAAGCCCATTTCCGCCACCCTGATAAAAAAATAAAACTTGTATCTCATAATTATGACTTAGCTATCTCATTATTATGAGATACTATCTCATAATTATGAGATGCCATCTCATTATTATGAGATAGCATCTCATAATAATGAGATAGCTAAGTCATAATTATGAGATACAAGTTTTATTTTTTTATCAGGGTGGCGGAAATGGGCTTCCATACAGGTAGAGCGCAGTAGAACTGCAAAAAAAAGTGAGGACTGGGGAAACGTCCCTGCTTCCTAAAAACGACCTCAGTTAGTTGGTTAAAAATCCAACATGGTCCTCAATCTGTAGCAAAAACAAGTACACACACACACACACACACACACACACACACACACACA